GAGACTCATTTTGTGTTCTTAGATATAACCTATCCTGGAGAATATTCCATATGTATCTAAAAGAATGTGTATTCTGATGTTTTGGGGTGAAATGTTCTGTATGCATCTCATAGGGTCATCTGTTCTAAAGTGTCATTTAATGCCAGTGTTCCTTATTGGTTTTCTGTATAGATAATCTGTCGATTAATATAAGTGGGGTTTAAAGGACCCTGTTGTTATTGTATTACTGTCAACTTCTCCTGTTATGTCTGTTAATATTTCCTTTATGTATTTAGGTATTCCTACATTGGGTGCTTATATATTTACAAGTGTTATATATTCTTGGATTGATCTCTTTATCATTATTAATGTTCCAATTTGTCTTTTGTTACAGCTCATGTTAAAGTCTATTTTGTTCAATATAAATATTGTTACCCCAGTTATATTTTTGCTTTCATTTTCATGGAATACAGGCAATCTTTGGTGATATTATGGGTTCAGTTCCAGACCATCACATAAAGCACATATTGCAGTAAAGCAAGTCACATGATTGTTTTTTTTCCCAGTGCATAGAAATATTATGTGTACATGCTGTAGTCTACTGAGTGTCCAAGTGCATTATCTGAAAGAAAAAGGTATATACCTTTATCAAAAAGACTACATTGGTAAAAAATACTAACCAAAATTTGAATCTTCAGTAATTGTGATCATTTTGCAATAGTAGTATCAAAGATCACGGATCACAGACCACCATTAATATTTATTGTTCTTCAGTCACAAAGTAATGTCTGACTCTTTGTGACCCCATGGACTGCAGCACACCAGGCTTCCCTCTCCCTATCTCCTAGAGTTTGCTCAAACTCACGCCCACTGAGTCTGTGATGCCATCCAACCATCTCATCCTCTGTTGCCCCCTTCTCCTCTTGCCCTCAATCTTTCTCAGCATCAGGCACTTTGCACAGGTGGCCAAAGTATTGGAGCTTCAGCATCAGTCCTTCTAATGAATATTCAGGGTTGATTTCCTTCAGGATTGATTGGTTTGATCTCCTCAATGTCCAAGGGACTCCCAAGAGTCTTCTCCAGCACCACAGTTCAAAAGCATCAATTCTTCGGCACTCTGTCTTCCTTATGGTCCAACTCTCACATCCATACATGACTACTGGAAAGACCACAGCTTTGACTATATGGACCTTTGTCAGCAAAATGATGTCTCTGCTTTTTAATATGCTGTCTTCTGTCCAGACTTGTCATAGCTTTCCTTCCAAGAAGCAAGCATCTTCTAATTTCATGGCTGTAGTCATTAATATTATTATTACATAAAATATAATATAATAATATAAATAATAACAAAAAGTTTTAAATATTGCAAGAATTACAAAATGTGGCACAGAGACACAAAATGAACAAATGTTGTTATAAAAAATGGTACTGATAGTATTGACAGATGCAGAGTTGCCAAAAGCCTTCAATTATAAAGTAAAGCACAATAAAATAAGGTATGCCTGTTATCTTTCTCCACCCTTTCACTTGCAGTCTGTGTGTATGTTTTTGGATCTGAAGTGAGTCTGTTATAGGCAGCATGTAAATGGGTCTTGTTTTTCAATCCATTCAATCACCCTATACCTTTTGATGGGAGCATTTAGTTCATTTACATTTGAAGTAATTATTGATATAAATGTACTTACAGACAAAATGGCATTGATATATATGCCATTTTGTTAACTGTCTTCTGGTTACTTTTGCTGTTGTTGTTCTCTGTTACTTTCTTCTCTTACTATCTCTCCTTGTATTTTGATGACTTTAGTGCAATACCTGCATTCCTTTCCCTTTATTTTTGGTGACTCTATTGGTTTTTGGTTTGTGGTTACCATGAGGTTCTTATATAACAACCTATGTACAGAGCAGTCTATTTTAAGTTGATGCATCTTCTAAATTGTTTAAGCATGTTCTAAAATCACCCTTTACTTTAAACATGAATTGAACTTTGATCTCCTAGAATGAATCTGCTCTCTCAGGTCTCTGTTTGAAGGCCCTCCTATATGTTGCCCCACTGTTTGAAAGGCTCCTTCAATTGGCTGACTTTTATTTTCTTTCAATAATGCAGATGTCACCTCTTTAGCAAAGTCCTCTCTGAGCCTTAGTGCATCTTCCAAGCCTTAGTTGGTGTACCTTCTATATATTCCGCTTCACCTTGGGTTCCCTTCTATCACAGCATCTGTCTGTTTACTGTCTCCCACACTAAACTATAAGGTTGTTGTCTAGAAGTACTACATCTTTTAGTTATAAGCACCTTGTCCATTGCCTCAGTTCAATTTGGTTCAGCCACTCAGTTGTGTCTGACTCTTTGTGACCCCATGAACTGTAGCACGCCAGGCTTCCCTGTCTATCACCAACTCCTGGAGCTTGCTCAAACTCATGTCCATTGAGTCAGTGATGCATTCCAACCATCTCATCCACTGTCATCCCCTTCTCCTCCTGCCTTCAATCTTTCCTAGCATCAGGGTCTTTTCCAATGAGTCAGTTCTTCATATCAGGTGGCCAAAGTATTGGAGTTTCAGCTTCAGCATCACTCCTTCCAATGAATATTCAGGACTGATTTCTTTTAGGAGGGACTGATTGGATCTCCTGGCAGTCCAAGAACTCTCAAGAGTCTTTTGCAACACCACAGTTCAAAAGCATCAGTTCTTTGGTGCTCAGCTTTCTTTATAGTCCAACTCTCACATTCATACATGACTACTGGAAAAACCACAGCCTTAACCAGATAGACCTTTGTTGGCAAAGTGATGTCTCTGCTTTTTAATATGCTGTCTAGGTTGGTCATAACTTTTCTTCCAAGGACTAAGCATCTTTTAATTTCATGGATGCAGTCACCATCTGCAGTGATTATGGAGCCCAAAAAATTAAAGTCTGTCACTGTTTCCACTGTTTCCCCATCTATTTGCCATGAAGGGATGGGACCAGATGCCATGATCTTAGTTTTCTGAAGGTTGAGTTTTAAGCCAACTTTGTCACTCTCCTCTTTCACTTTCATCAAGAGGCTCTTTAGTTCTTTACTTTCTGCCATAAGGGTGGTGTTATCTGCATATCTGAGGTTATTGCTATTTCTCCTGGCAATCTTGATTTCAGCTTGTGCTTCATCCAGTCTGGCATTTCTCATGATGTACTCTGCATATAAGTTAAATAAGCAGGGTGAAAATATACAGCCTTGGATTATCAATCAAGCCTAGGTGCTTGATTGATTATAGAAGGCTGGCTTTCTGCATATAAATCAATGAAGTTAGAACAAATCCTCACAATATATACAAAAATAAACTCAAAGTGGCTTAAAGACTTTAAAACATTTCATCATAAAACTGTTAGATGAGAACATAGGCAAAACATTCCCTGACATAAATTGTACCAGTGTTTTCTTAGGTCAGTCTTCCAAGGCAGTAGAAATAAAAGCAAAAATAAACAAGTGGGACCTAATCAAACTTACAAGCCTTTGTATAGCAAAGGAAACCATAAACAAAATGAAAAGACAACTTACAGACTGGGGAAAAATATTTTCAGATTATGTGACTCACATGAGATTAAGTTCCAAAATCTATAAATAGCTCATACAACTTGATAGCAAAAAACCCTGAACAACCCAATCAAAAGGTGGGCAGAAGATCCAAACAGACATTTCTCCAAAGAAAACATACAGATGGCTAATAAACACATGAAAAGATGCTCATTATTGCTAATTATTATGGAAATGCAAATCAAAAGTACAATGAAGTATCACCTCAAACCAGTCAGAGTGGCCATCATTAAAAATGTCTATAAATAATAAATGCTGGAGATGGTATGGAGAAAAGGGAACCCTCCTACACTGTTGGTAGGAATGTAAATTGGTGCAGCCACTATGAAAATCAGTATGAAGGTTCCTCAAGAAACTAAAAATAGTTACAATATGACCCTGCAATCCCACTCCTGGGCATATATCTGGACAAAACTGTAGTTTGAAAAGATACACGCATCCCAGTGTTCACTGAAGCACTATTTACAATAGCTAAGACATGGCAACAACATAAGTGTCCATCAACAGATAAAGAAGGTATGGCATATATGCATGGTGGAATATTATTAAGTCATAAAAAAGAATGTAATAAGGCCATTTGCAGCAACATGAATGGACCTAGATATTATCATACTAAGTGAAGTAAATCAGAAAGAGAAATATAAATGCCATATGCTATCACTTATATGTGCAATCTAAAATATGACACAAATGAACTTATCTACAAAATAGAAACAGACTTACAGCCATAAAAAACAGTCTTGTAGTTGCCAAGGAAGGGAGGAATGAGGAGGCATAGATTGGGAGGTTGAGATTAACAGATGCAAACTAGTATATATAGGATGGATAAACAACAAGGTCCTATTGCATAGCACAGGGAATTATATTCAGCTTCTGAAAAACCATAATGGAAAAGAACATGAAAAGAATGTGTGTGTGTGTGTGTGTATAACTGAATCACTTTGCTATACAGTAGAAATTAACACAACATTGTAAACCAACTATACTTCAGTAAAATAAAATTTCAAAAAGTTTGTTTAATCCCCATGATCACCTACTAACTTTAACAATAACCAGTTTTACTTTCCAGATGTGTGTTTGTGTGTATGCCCCTGCACTGAAATAATGGTAATAACTGTACTATCAGTCATACCACCGTGGCTCATTTTAAAGAACCAGCAGAAAACATTTTGCAGTATTTTCAAGATTTGCTACTATCCTGAATGAGACTCTTTCATTGACCTTTAGTTATTTAAACAAATTGTGAGCCTAATCCAGGACTGTGACTGGTATTTTCTGGGTTGGTAACCAGTTCTGATTATCACAATCTTTATGTGTTAAAAGAAGCTACTTAGAAATTACATATAAGATACTCCATGAAATTCCACTAAGGTTTTTAAATATCTTGAAGTTTCTGATAATAATTTTACTTAATTTTAAAGATAAATTTCATATCTTAAATTTAAAAATTAAATACCCATCCTTTATTCTTTCTTGTGGAAAATAAACTTTTCTCTTCAGAATTGTATATATGACAGGCATCTGTCCCAAAGCAGCCAACTGCTTGCTAATTACTATGGAATTCTGTAAAAAAAAAAAAAATAAGTTTCCTCTCTTACTCTTCTCATAGCCAAAGTTATCCTGAAATTACACCATGATATATTAAATTTACTATTTTAGTTAAGACATTGCTTACATTTATAAATTTACCACACTCTCAAGATTCAGCTTTATTTTTTCCCTACTATATAGTCTCCTCCCCAGTAGAACTTTATGAATTATAAATATCATAATATAATTTATAACATGTTGAAAATACTATGCAGAGTCTTGAATAAACTGAGATTATGGAGGCTCTTAAATAAATACTCTTAGTTTAATATCAATGAAATATGTAATGGAGTTTCTAAAACTAATCTTTAGGATTATTTCTATATAAGCCTGACTTCAAAACAACATATCCTTTAGAAAGCATATTTCAAATATATCTGGAAGCTCTAAGAAAAATTCTATTAAGATAAAGATAGATCTGACATGCCCCCTCTTTTTCTGATGAGATTTAAGGAGCTATTAAATTGACTGGAATTATCCCTAATAAAGTTTTTTAAGAATACAGGCAACAGTTACATTATGGGGAATCTGTAGAATGCAAATTCAGATAGGGCTAGTCTAGACTCCTCCAATAATGCTCCTGTTTAATTTCCTAGAAATATGTCAACCACCCACAAAGAAACTTTTGAGATTGCTGTAATGAGTATCACTAAGGGTATAATCATTGGGACTATGGGGTTGTCTAATAGAAGAATTTAACCCATGTTTTAAGAATAGGAATGGTGGTCTTCAGGAAGGCTTCCCTGAAGAATATACATTTAGAGATTTTGATGGAGAAAAATAGATTTTTCTGGTAAATAATTGATAAATAATAGATCTTTTTATTTTGTTTCTAAAAGTCTTATTCACTATTCAGAATTTTAAATACAACTATCTTTCATATAACTGCAAAAGAAAAGAGTAAAATGAGCATTCTTAATGTGGCATAGAATAAGATGGAAATAAAATACAACAAACAACCTATACAACAAGATGACAGAAAAAAGGACAGACTAAGAGAAGTTGAGACAACTATGTAAACAAGCTTAAGAATGTATGTTTCTCCATTAAGAGGACAATTCATGGTCATCAAAGATAATTTTATAAGTATAGAAAAACATTACCACAAAGGAATCATCAAAAGGATAAAAAACACATTTAGGATATTTTCTTTTTTCCAATATTTAGGATATTTTCTTAAGGTTTACCAAATGTGGGTTACTGCTATGTAGTCACGCTATATAATCTAAAGTCCACTGTTGCTGCTCAGTCCCTAAGTCACGTCCGACTCTTTGCAACCCCATGAAATGCAGCATGCCAGGCTTTCCTGTCCATCACTATCTCCCAGAGTTTGGTCAAACACATGTCCATTGAGTCAGTGATGCCATCCAACCACCTCATTCTCTGTCACCCCCTTCTCCTCCTGCTCTCAATTTTTCCTAGCATTAGGGTCTTTTCCAATGAGTCGGTTCTTCACATCGGGTGGCCAAAGTATCGGAGCTTCAGCTTCAGCATCAGTCCTTCCAATGGACATTAATGGTTGATTTCCTTTAGGATGGACTGGTTGGATCTCCTTGCAGTCCAAGGGACTCTCAAGAGTCTTCTCCAGCACCACAGTTCAAAAGCATCAATTCTTC